GAGGAAAAATAGTACCAACACTTTTATTTATTTATTTATTTGTAGAATTTACGTACTTTCAAATGTTTTTGGATTGGTTTTGCTCTCTTTTGCTATCATTTTCTCCTTTTTTAGTTTAGCCACTTTAATTGCCATTTTGCACCCATTATCAACTTCCGTATATCTTATATAGGATGCCTATGATTTGCCTGATAGGATGCCTTTTTTGTTTTATATTTGTTGGTTTATCTTCCCATTAGGCCACGTTGGCTTCAGTTTGTTTCTTTTATATGTATTTCTCAATGGTATATACAGGGAAGAGTACATTTCTAATATTTGCTAGAAGAAACTTATTTATCCTCAGTGTTTTTTTCACTAATGAGTTAATTTCTGATGTAAAGCTACCCTAATCTTGTAGAAATTAATCTTTTTAAAATTATATGTTTTAGTATACCCCATGTGCGTTTGCTAGTTGCACTAGTTGGTGCTTGTACCAGTTATGACATGAAGGTGTAATTGAACAGGTTTAAAAATCTGATTATTCTTGCTAAACTATGAGTCAATTTATGAATTAAATTCTAAAATAATTAACATATTACCCAGATTTGCAGCTTTCCAAATTTGCTCTAACTGGTGTTCTTCCTCATCAATTTTAGCATAAGGTGGTTTATAACATATCCCATCAATAATTCATTTTTCATGTTTTGCCAAATAGCAGATATCTACCTATAAAGCTTCCACATTTTCCTTGTCACATTCAGGCATACAGAGCAGCTCCCACTGTCCCATCAACATGATAGGATGAATGAATAGCAGTCAGTTCCCCTACATAGAGTGGGCACAAGAGTATTAGTGGGTACAAGAACAACCAGGGGAGTGGTGAGGGCAGCAAAATGACTCCCCTTTCCAAGTGACCCATCTGGACTGCAAAGGGTTGCCTCTAGGTAATTGAGAATAGATATAGATATATACACTTCTCAAAAAAATAAAGGGAACACTTAAACAACACAATGTAACTCCAAGTAAATCACACTTCTGGGAAATCAAACTGTCCACTTAGGAAGCAACACTGAGTGACAATCAATTTCACATGCTGTTGTGCAAATGGGATAGACAGCAGGTGGAAATTATAGGCAATTAGCAAGACACCCCCAATAAAGTAGTGGTTCTGCAGGTGGTGACCACAGACCACTTCTCAGTTCTTATGCATCCTGGCTGATGTTTTGGTCACTTTTAAATGCTGGCGGTGCTTTCACTCTAGTGGTAGCATGAGATGGAGTTTACAACCCACACAAGTTGTTCAGGCAGTGCAGCTTATCCAGGATGGCACATCAATGCGAGCTGTGGCAAGAAGGGTTGCTGAGTCTGTCAGTGTAGTGTCCAGAGCATGGAGGCGCTACCAGGAGACAGTCCAGTACATCAGGAGATGTGGAGGAGGCCGTAGGAGGCCAACAACCCAGCAGCAGGACCGCTACCTCCGCCTTTGTGCACTGCCAAAATGACCTCAAGCAGGCCACAAATGTGCATGTGTCTGCTCAAACGGTCAGAAACAGACTCCATGAGGGTGGTATGAGGGCCCGACGTCAACAGGTGGGGGTTGTGCTTACAACCCAACACCATGCAGAACGTTTGGCATTTGCCAGAGAACACCAAGATTGGCAAATTTGCCACTGGCACCCTGTGCTCTTCACAGATGAAAGCAGGTTCACACTGAGCACATGTGACAGACGTGACAGAGTCTGGAGTCGCCGTGGAGAACGTTTTTCTGCCTGCAACATCCTTTAGCATGACCGGTTTGGCAGTGGGTCAGTAATGGTTTGGGGTGGCATTTCTTTGGGGGGGGCGCACAGCCCTCCATGTGCTTGCCAGAGGTAGCCTGACTGCCATTAGGTACCGAGATGAGATCCTCAGACCCCTTGTGAGACCATATGCTGGTGCGGTTGGCCCTGCGTTCCTCCTAATGCAAGACAATGCTAGACCTCATGTGGCTTGAGTGTGTCAGCAGTTCCTGGAAGACCATCCACCAACGTCACATTGCACCACAGACTGTCCATTTGTTGGCAGATGCTTTAGTCCAGGTCTGGGAGGAGATCCCTTAGGAGACCATCCGCCACCTCATCAGGAGTATGCACAGACGTTGTAGGGAGGTCATACAGGCACGTGGAGGCCACACACATTACTGAGCCTCATTTTGACTTGTTTTAAGAACATTACATCAAAGTTGGATCAGCCTGTAGTGTGTTTTTCCACTTTAATTTTGAGTGTGACTCCAAATCCAGACATCCATCGGTTGAAAAATTTGATTTCCATTTTTTAATTTTTGTGTGATTTTGTTGTCAGCACATTCAACTATGTAAAGAACAAAGGATTTCTGAAGAATATTTAATTCATTCAGATCTAGGATGTGTTATTTTTGTGTTTCCTTTATTTTTTTGAGCAGTGTATATATATATATATTGTGTCCTGATGAAAGCTCTGATCGGGAGCTGAAACGTTGACATCTTTTGGATTAACTGAGAATTAAAACGGATGAACTAATCCTATATATATATATATTTATATATATATATATATATATATATATATATATTTTTTTTTTTTTTTATAGCAGTGCTTTTTTATTTATTAGTTTATTAGTATCACTAACAAACAATTATCCTTTCTATGTTTATTATTGTATTTTTCTATGATTAAAGAAACAAATAGACCACTTATAATCCCAGCTTGAACTGCTTCTACTATTAGGAAACACACACATATGGAACTACCTAGACATAGATTATATTAAAAGAGAGCATTTTACAACTTCAATATTAAGTAGCCATTGAATACTACAAGCAATTCTGCTGGTATCTATTACAACCAGCTTTTTCTATCCCCTTGAGTTCCAATTAAATACTTAAGCATCAAATGATATGTTAATTTGCTGGAAAAAATCTAATTAGATGTTAATTGCTCACATAATTTTGAAATAATTAGATTCATTTACATTTCTGCAAAAACATATAAACAGTTCTTCAGATGAATTGGTGTCTAGTGAAACAACGTACATCTCTGAGCCTGTATATATTTTGGAAACAGTTTAGTAGAAAAAGAGAAGAAGAAGAAAGAGTTGTCTGTAGGTTTCTTGTGAAATGAAAAACAAAGGTATCCCGATAACTAACAACCATTGCAATTTCTCGAACTATATTAGTATGAAAAGTAGGTTACAATTTGAAACATTATTAAATTAAAGTATGTTGATTGCAGGTTTTGTTTATTCTACATACTGTAGAGAGAGCAATAATATACTTTAGCACAGATTTTCTAAAATTAATCCTGGAGATCATCAGTTGGATAAAATGATGAGATAAAATAAATATTTTCTAGTAGCTGTATCCATAAAACCTAGATTGCGTTGTTAAAAGTAGATCCAAATATTTCTCTGGTTTCATAATTTCCTATCTTATTAACCCACAATTAGCACTGTTCAAGTGTTTTCTAAAAATAAATATGGAAAACAGTATGAATACATTTTCTACCATCTAGTAGTGATGCTGCTGTTATGGTTATATTGATTACTTTTATGTTTCTGTATTTTTTTTCCTCTTCAAACTATAGTTTATTCGCATCTCTAAAGAATCCACTGGTGAAATCTGTGTTGGGTGTTTGATGAATTTAGATATGTTATTAAACCTAAAATATCTTTGCTTTTTTGTCAAAATGATGATACACACTTAGTACTACTGTCATCTCAAGAGCAGATGAAAGTGAGTTAGTAAGGCTCTTAATAGCCACTTAGAATATATAAAAAATAAAAAAAAATAATATAATCTTGCTACATTGGATTTGGTGTGACAGCCAGGCGTGAATTAGTCACCTAAGAATTTAACATTGCAGTGATTCTATAGTCAAACAATCAGAGGAAATAACCAATGAAATAGATTGCTTTTGGTGTGCCCAAGCAACGCATGAGGATTTCAGCCACAAAATTAACATGGTTTCTTGAAGCGAAATTAATCTTATACGTCTCTTTATTTCTCTTTATTTAGTATTTTAAATAGTGGAAAGTACATCTCCATTTTAATGAGGCACTGTCACAAATAAAATATTCAGGAAGGTTATTAATCAAAACATATTTACAATTGACCCATTTAGAAAAAAAAGCCAAAAAACAAAACACAAAAGTGCCCTAGTGTGGGGGCGTGGCTAGCCAGCGAGCAGAATGGCCGCATGTTTAAACGGCTCTCAGCACATGAGGCAAAAATCGCTTTTATTGGAGGCAATAAGCATCATGGCTGCAGAACTCTCACTTGATTTATTTACCCAACAGGAAACAATTTCCCGCTCTCCTCAAGATCCTCAGCAAACTATAATCATTCACTGAAGGCCTCTTGCTCTTGGGAGGAGACTTTAATGTCTCACTAGATAGTACTTTAGATACAACCTCCCAAGCTCACTATTACCAGTCCTCTGTACGGATCCCTGTCCAAAAGCTCCTAGACTCAAATCTGCTATACGACTTTTCGACAAATAGGGATTACTCCTATTATTCCCACCCCACAGGCTCATACTCACGGATTGATATGCTCTTCCTCCATCATCGATTCTTAAACCTAATCACGTCTTGCTCATATGAGTCTATCACTTGGTCAGACCGTGCCCCTCTGTCAATGACACTGCAAATACCCTCTCTACACCCCTCTAGGGCCCCCATGAAACTTAATGACCCATTACTGAAAAAGGCAGAAATCTGGACCCAAATTAGATCAGAGCTTGACCATTACTTCGTTCGCAACAAATACCCAGGCTTAACTTATCCAATTATTTGGAAGGCCCTTAAATGCTCAAGAAGAGGCTCCATCATACAAATGGTGTCCACGCATAAGAAACACAGGGAATACCGGAGTACCCAACTGCTCCAAGAGATCAGGTCTCTAGAAATGACCCATAAAACAGACCCACAACTAGAGGCCTATAAAAAGTTTTTAGAAAAGAGGACTAAACTTCACATAATCCTAAATATGCAGACCAAACGCAAACTAGCTATCACCAAAAGTATGTATTACGCACAAGGGGGAAAGAGTGGTTGTTTACTGGCCCATGCCTTGAAAAAACAAAGAGAAACCACCTTTTTAGCCTTAATACAAAACAAGGAAGGTAGAAACTCCCAGCTCATTATGAGTGAGGAATTCCACACAGTGATCACCCTTTTACCCAAACCAGGGAAAGATCTGACCCTATGTGGCAGTTACCGGCCCATCTCACTCATAAACATAGATCTTAAACTTTTTACAAAAATACTGGCAAATAGGCTGTGACTACTGCTCCCAGCACTGATTCACCCTGACCAATCAGGATTCATCCCAGGCAGGGATGTCAAGAACAAAACGACGAAGATTGTGAACTTAATCTACCACTCCAAATGGTCGGGGGACTCCAGTCTTCTATCGATAGATGCCGAAAAGGCGTTTGTCATGGTGAACTGGACCCCCTAATGACCCACACATTGCAACACATGGGCTTCGGACCGAATTGGCTGTGCTGGCTGGGAGCCAGGCAAGGCTGCGCATCAACGGTCAGCTATCTGCGCATCAACGGTCAGCTATCTGAACTGGTGACAATTTCAAATGGTACGAGACAGGGTTCCCTCTCCCCCCTCCTCTTTGTGCTGGTTCTAGAGCCATTCCTCCAAGGAATTCGAGACAACCCCCTGATTCAAGGAATAAGAGCGGGAGGCACGGAACATAAAATAGCTGCATTTGCAGATGACATGCTGTTTGCCGTCTCAGATCCCATCACCACTCTTCCACTCTAACTTATATAGTGAACATCAAACTTCCAGGCAAACCTGGGCAAATGTGAAATTCTCCCACTGACCATAACCCAGGACACCAAAACAACACTCCAAAAGATATGCCCTGTAGTGGAGCTTTAATATTAAAATCAATATCTCCGCTGGTAAACTGTAAAAACATCCACGAGAAGCGCAGTACAGCAAAACAATCCCAATCTCCTAAGTACCGGATGATACACAGTTCTGGGAGTCAACTGATTTTTATTCTGCCACAGCTGGCTTTTATGCAACTCCCCATGCAAGGGGTTTCTTTAATTACATTCCAGGGGTTTTGCACTGGTGGACCTTGTTGGGGACAGGCGACAAAGTAACATTTCCCAGACTCCTCCTCTGTACCTGGGAGATAATTGAGTAAGGACAACTCTTTAATTACATTATCTCCCAAGTACAGAAAATATACAATATTTCAAACCAACATAACATTAATATTAGTCTGAACTCCACAAAAGATAATCAGTGGCGTACTAAGGGGGGGGCGAGAGGGGAAGGCCTGCCCCGGGTGCCACTGACTAGGGGGGTGCCATGACTTCCAGTGTCATGTGTCACCCCCCCCCGGCCCCAATCATTACACTGTGCACAGCCGCAGTGGCAGCACCTTTGCAGAGGCTGAGAAAGGGGAGGAGTCTTGCGGGACGCCGATTGATGACGCCGTATGCAGCGCCGCCGTCAGTCCGCCTTCACGGATCTTCAGCGCAAGGATCCAGTGGTCGGTCTCGGAGGGAAGGCATCATCAAAACGTGAGTAGTAATTTATGTGATGTTATTCATTTATGTGATGTTATTAAATTAATTAAAAGGGGGGTGTATAATTAAAGGGGGAGGAGATTTAATTAAGGGGGTGTATTAATTATGGGAGGTGTATTAATTATAGGGGGTGTATTAATTATGGGGGGTATATTAATTATGGGGGGTGTATTAATAATGGGGGTGGATTAATTATGGGGGGTGTATTAATTATGGGGGGTGGATTAATTAAGGGGGGAATTAATTATGGGTAGTGGATTAATTAAGGGGGGGTGGATTAATTATGGGGGTGTATTAATTAAGTGGCTTGTATTAATTAAGGGGGATGGATTAATTATGGGGGGTTGATTAATTAGTGTGGATTAATTATGGGGTGGATTAATTATGGGGGAGTGGTTAATTAAGGGGGCGGTGGATTAATTAGGGTGGAGTGGATTAATTATGGGGGGTGTATTAATTATGGGGGTGTATTAATTAAGGGGGGTGGATTAATTATAGGGGGTGAATTAATTAAGGGGGGTGTATTAATTATGGGGGGGTGGATTAATTAGTGTGGATTAAGGGTGTGTGTATCAATTAAGGGGGGTGGACAGTGGTGGGGATTAGTGGAGGGTGGATTAGTGTTAAGGCGGTTTGGATTGTAATTATGGGGATTAGTATGGGGTGGATTGTAGTGGGGGTGGGTTAATTAAGGGGGTGTGGATTAATTATTAATTAGTGTGGATTAATTAGTGTGGATTAATTAAGGGGTGTGGATTAATTAAGGAGTGTGGATTAATTAAGGGGGGTGTGGATTAATTAGTGTGGATTAATTAAGGGTATGGATTTATTAGTGTGGATTAATTAAGGGGTATGGATTAATTAAAGGGGGGTGCGGCGTGGGAAGGTTTATTTAAGGGGGTAGGTTTAATTAATGGGGGTGCAGGTTTTTTAATTAATGGGGTTGCAGTATTTTATTTATTAAGGGAGGATGTGCACTGCAGATTTTTGTTAAGGGGGTGTGCAGGATTTTAAGGGGTGTGTGCAGGTTTTTTGTTATCAAAGGGGGTTGTGCAAGTTTTTGTTTTTTTATTAAGGGGGTTGTGCATGGTTTCTGTTTTTTATTAAGGGGGTGTGCAGTGTTTTTTTTTTGTTTTTTTTAAATTAAGGGGGTGTGCAGGGTTTTTATGTGTAGGGAGTGTATGAAATTTATGTTGTCAGTGTGCAGGGTTTTTATATGAAGGCCGAAGGGCAGGGGTTTTCTAGAAGGGGCGAGACAAGGGGCTTTGTAGAAAGGGGCAGAGCAGGAGTTTTCTAGAAGTTTCTCACCTGCCCCTTTCTACAAAAGCACTGGTCTTCCCCCTTCTACAAAACTGGCACATTTGTACAAAACTTCTGCCCTGGCCCCCTTCTACAAAACCTCTGCCCTAGCCGCTACATCTTTTGAACCCAAATCCTTTTCCTATGCTGTTTCTAAGGATCGGCTCAATGAAGTGGTCTGGGTGCCAGGTCCCTCTAGTTTTAACCCTGCAGCTGAAAACAAAGCAGTTTCAGAGATATTTCACTGAGGGTTAATCCAGCCTCTAGTGGCTGTCTCACTGACAGCCGCAAGAGGCGCTTCCACAATTCTCACTGAAAACTCACTGTGAGAAGACGCTGGACGTCCATAGGAAAGCACTGAGTAATGCTTTCCTACGGGCAGTATGAATGCGCAAGCGGCTCTTGCCGCGCATGTGCATTCGGATCTGCCGCCGGCAGGGGGAGGAGAGGTCACCAGCGCCGAGGGAGCCCGACGCTGGAGAAAGGTAAGTGGCTGAATGGGTTTAAAGGGGTTAAAACCCCTTCAGCCATTTATCTTAATCCAGTGCCGGGCTCCCTCAGCGCTGGTGAACTCTCCTCCCCCGCCGACATCAGCTCCCGAGTGGAGCCGAATGCACATGCGTGGCAAGACCCGCGCGCGCGCATTCAAACAGTCCATAGGAAAGCCTTTCTCAATGCTTTCCTATGGACGTTCTGCAAGCTGGATGCGATTTTTGCATCTGGAGGGTTAAAATCTGGGGGAGCTGGCACCCAGACCACTTCATTGAGCTGAAGTGGTCTGGGTGACTATAGTGTCCCTTTAAATACCCTGGGTTGTCTACTTTTACAAATGGTATGCCAAGATGGGAAATATAAGACAGATATCGGACTAGCGAACCCTAGAGCCAACATAAATTTAGTATTTTTCTGCAGAAAACACCAATATGAAGCGAAATCGACCAAGCGGGTCTCAGCAACGACAAATTAAGAAGGCAAAAGAAAAGTCAGCTGAGGCGATGTCTGGATCAATTTTAAAATATGTTGCACCTTCAACATCTACCGCAGTAGGAGAAAGCGCTGAAGACGTTCAGTCTGTTGAATCCAGAGGTGAAGTGCCTGAAGTATCTTCTCAAGAAGCTTCATATGTGAAAGCGCAAGAATTGGAGAAGATCATTTTATCTTCAAGCGATGAAAGTGATGTAGATGAAGGTGATGCCAGCAGAAGCCTGCATCAGCAAGACTCTGATGATGATGATGAAGAAGAAGAGGAGACTGTTGGACTGTCAGTTTATTCTGATGTTGCTGCTTGGCCAGTTCCAGTTCCAGATGTTTTAAGAGTGGACCTTATTAAGAGGGGAAGTGAACCTTTCCAAAATAGAGATGGGCCATTCAGTCCTGTTGAAAGGCAAGGAGAGAAATCAAAAGGGAAGAGTCGACAGTTGACCACTGCATGGTTCTATAAGGTTCTGCCTAAAGGCGAAAAAAAATTTAGAACGTGGATGGTGTACTCTCCATCAAAACAAAGTTTGTTTTGTTTTTGCTGCAGACTTTTTGCTGTTGATGACAAAGTAACAGGGGCATCCAGTTTTGTTACTGGGTTTCAATTGTGGTGGAAGCTGAACCCAAAAGTGTCTGATCATGAGGCTTCTGAGCAGCATCTTACATGCTTGGAGAAATGGAAGACCTTGAGAGCAGGATTGAAGCTACAAAAATGCATTAATCATGTCAATCAAACAACAGTGGACAGAGAGAAAAGGAAATTGAGGGATATTTTGCATCGCCTTTTGGATGTAACTTTGTTTCTGGCTCACCAGAATCTTCCCTTTTGTGGTCATAGAGAGACCATGTCATCCGCAAACAAACGCAACTTCCTCGAATTGGTAGAATTGATCTCAAACTATGATGCCATTTTAAAGGAACATTTCATGAGGCTGAAACATGCTGTTGCATCTGGAAAGAGAATGACTTCCTATTTCTCTCCAAAAATTCAGAACAAATTAATTTGTCTTTTGTGAAATCATGTGAAGGACAAAATAGTGGCTGATATCAAGAAAGCAAAGTACTTTGGGATTCTTTTTGACAGCACCCCTGATGTGTCCCATACTGATCAGATGTGTGAAGTGATCAGATATGTTCATATTGAAGGGGACCATGTTGAAGTAAAGGAATCATTCTTGGGGTTCTTTCCTATTGCTGAAAAGACTGCTGCTGGGCTCACAGAAAATATCCTGCAACATCTGGAGGAAGATGGACTAGACATAAGCCTTTGCCGTGGTCAAGGATATGATAATGCTGCAACTATGGCAGGGATTCATGGTGGTGTTCAGGCAAAAATAAAAGAGATTAATCCCAAGTCTTTGTTTATGCCATGTGCTAACGATTCCCTGAGCCTATGTGGGTTGCACTTATTTGGAAGTGTTGTTTCCTGTGTAACCATTTTTGTAACATTGGAGAGAGTGTATTTCTTTTTTTTCGGTTTCTACACATCGTTGGGAATTGCTGATGGAAAATGTAGATGTGACAGTGAAAAGACTTTCCCAAACAAGATGGAGCGCTCATTATGATGCTGTGAAGCCAGTGAGGGCAAATTTTGAAAAACTGACTTCAGCCCTTGAAAAATTATGTAATCCCAAAGAAAATGTGGACACAAGAGGATCGGCTCAGATGTTGCAGTCTGCCGTATGTGATTTTTCTTTTTTGTGTTACCTTTCTTTCTGGTGTGAAGTTCTAGAAGAAGTTAATATAACACAGAAATATTTGCAAACTGTGGGACTCACTCTTGAAAAGTGCATTGTGAAACTACAAGGTTTGAAAGCGTTTCTAGCACATCAGCGCAGTGAAATTGTGGAGAAGGCCATTTGTTATGCAACTACTATGTGTAAAGAAATGGACATTTCAATGGAAAGAAGAGGGAGAATAAAGCTCCGTAAAACAATGCCAGGAGAGAAGGCAAAGGACGCTGGTCTCACATTGCCAGAGGAAATGAAAAGGGCTATGTTTGAGTGCCTTGATCGTTTTCATCACGAGTTGGAAATTCGTTCTCAGGCAATTGAAAAAATCCTTTCAATGTTTGCTGTTATTCAGCCAAGCTCTCTGGTTGTGGCAACAGAGAGAGATATTCGTAATTATACTCCAAAATTGACTGAGATTTTTGACGAATTCTCTAATGAAGACATCTTTAGGGAAATTGAACATCTTCGGAGGCGTTTGGAAGCTGCCAAGATCAGTGTTGAAGAAGCAAAGAAATGGACGGCATTGCAGTTCCTGGAGTTCATTGTTAAATGGGATTATTGTGAATCTCTGCCAAATTTGTCACTGTGTTTAAGATTCTTTTTGACTCTCTGTGTGTCTATTGCTTCATGTGAAAGAAGTTTATCCAAATTAAAATTGATAAAACATTTCTTTCGCTCAACCATGAGTGAGACAAGGTTGACAAATCTGGCTATACTTTCAATTGAGCATGAATATGCAAGGAAGATTGGCTTTGATGAAGTAATCGATAAATTTGCAGAAATGAAGGGTCGAAGGCAGTGGATGTGAATCATTGCACATTACCTCTGCAGAACAGACTGAGTGGTCATTTTGGATCTGTGTGTTTTTTTGTTTATAGAAAGCGTATTAACTGTTAAGTAAATGTTAATTATTTAAATTTTATTTATTTCTAAGTTAATTTATTTTTCATAGTTCCATTTTTTTCAAGTTTATATACAGTTTACAAATTTGTGAAATAAATATTATTGAAAACATTGAAAAAATTGTGGGTGTTTTCTTACATTTTTATTATAGGGGGGTGCCACACTCAGGGTCCGCCCCGGGTGCCAAATGCTCTAGGTACGCCCCTGAAGATAATTCACCGAACAGCAGGGATCTGAGCACCCGCTCGGTGGAAATATCACTCAGATCCATTCAGTAGAATATGAACGCCATTCGAATGACGTTTAGACCGGTCAACCATGAGGTGGCCCCAAAATAGTCTAGATGGTTTTATGCTTTGACCGGTCTTCTTTCGGGAGTATTCACCAGCAAAATATTATAGGGGGTCGTGTGCCCTGCGTTCGATAGTTTCTCTCATGCAAATGCCGCTCTGTATAAGTGAAGGGGATTGAACATATGAAGGAATGGTAGTTCAGCAGTGTTCGCTCCATCAAGTTTTTTCCAATTATTGTTCCATGCACTCGACGACCAAACCCCGCTGTCTGTTCGTGCACAAAGATGCCCACTGCCACGTGTTAGGTCATACGAATGACGGCCACCCATGCAACCACTTAGAACCTTGCGGTTTCTAAGTGTGAACACCGTCAGGAACTCCAAATTGTCAAACCACCTAAGTCTGTATTATAAATAATTGGCTGGTACTGCCACAAACCACTTCTCATGGGCGGCCAGAACTATCAAATACCTGGGAATAAACATTGCACATAAACTGTCGCAACTGTATGACAGTAACTTCCCCAACCTACTTCAATCTATGTCCAAAGACCTAATCTCCTGGAACCTACCACACTTTAGATGGTTCTGTAGACTAAGTATCCTGAAGATTAATGCCCTTCCACACCTTCTACAGGTGCTCCCAATCTCACTTCCCAAGACCCTATTTGCGAACGTCCGCAAATCCTTCACCAATTTTATTTGGGCTCACAGGCAACCATGATTGGCATACTCCCTACTAACGAGACCTAAGGAGGAGGGAGGACAACCACAAGGCAGTACTGTTGACCAGGATCTATGACTGGTCACTCCCAAACTCTTCCAAACAGTGGGTACAACTGGACGACACGTTCTTCCGAGTCCCAATCTTTACCATCCCATGGCATAAATCGGGGCAAGCTCTTCTTATCCACCAGGAGCACCCCACTATTACACCCACTCTGAACATGTGGGCCCATGAGAGAAATCATCCTCAGATATCTCCATATCCTTCTCCTCTGTACCCAGTAATGCACAACCCCCTATTCAAACCTGGGGAGGATGGCAAGACATACAAGGACTACCATAACCCCCCCTACCTGACTTTAGGGCACTTGGTCGAGGCATCTGGGGTGAAGCCTTTACCTGATCTCTTACCCACAGAAGCCCACTACCCACTACAAAAATTTCAATACAACCAAATGTTGCACTTTATAAAGTCAGCGCTTTTAGCACAGGGGAAACCCCAAGAATACACAAACTTTGAGCGACAGTGTGTCACCCAAGACATTAAAAAGAAACTTATCTCAAAAATATACACACTACTACTTTCTACCCAACTCAAACACCTCACGGCCTTTACATCAAGCTGGGAAAAAGAATCAAACCTCTCATTCACGCCAGATCACTGGCGTAAAATATTCCAACAAATACACTGCACATCTCACAACACAGTGGCACAGGAGAGTAACTATAAATTAATAATACATTGGCACTACATGCCAGTGAAACTCAGGTCCAAAAAACACCCAGATCGGTTCAGGGGTTCAGGAATTTCCTGGAAGTCTTATTTTTGCCCCACTGTGCACATGGTCCCATGCCCAAAACAGTTCCATACACTTGACGAAAAAACACTGCTGGACAATTTAAGATGGCCGCCACCACATGTTTGAAAGGGGCATTGTGCTAAGTCCCAATATGCACGAATAGTGTCTTTAAAGGGCAATACACCCCAGGGGCCATTGTCACAGGGCAAGAGGCTGGCAAGCAGGCCTCTCCAAAATCCAGTGGCAAGGTTACTTTCTCCACACATATCACATACAATATTTCAATAAGTAATTCTCAAAAGAAACAAAATCTGTTTTCATCAATTAGGTGTCGATTCACGGAAGCAACACATTCTAATTCCAGTAGCTATTTTGGTTGTGGCACACAGATCTGTACCAGCAATAAATATTCCTATAATGAATTATACTATTTTGTTTTCCAAAGTAAATACACCACTATCAATGTGGTATATTAAGGGAAGTAAACTAGATAGCCTCTCAGTCGAAATGTATATCTTACTTTGTTCACAACCACTTATTGAGAAGTTGCTGCACTACTTGATCAGACCTGGTCTTTATTCCTCTCCACGCTTTCTACAGGTACACTGACTGGACTTATCTACTCATATAAGATGTGTTTCAGAGAGTTACTTTGTGTTATAAATGCTCCCTTAGACATGCATTATTTGTATATATTCTTTCGCGTAAAAACACAAAATAAATTAATAGATATATAAAGTGGTGCTCAATTCTTCGAATATTGCTACAAATGAACTTGAAAACAAAGTTTAATGTGGTACAAGAGATTCTGTAATTGGATTTGAATTATGAAGCCACTCACAGTTATTAGGACTATAAAATCAATGCAAAACTGCATATATCTGGATAATGATGTTGAACATCATACTGTTACAAAACTAAGCCTTGCAGCAGTGACACTTGTCTGATAATGAGACTATCCGTGATTAGCTAAGTTAATGCTGGGTGGATTTATTATCCTGCACACTCACATGGTGAGGAATCAGACATTGCTAAATCATTATATCACAGCACGCTAGACAGGTTGAGGGCCTGTTTTTTGAAAGACATATACAATGGTTACTAGTTGCACTTGGGTTTTGTGATTTGTCTGTAAATAATTTTATTGTAAACGTGTTTTTTGAATACATGTGACATATCTATTAACATGGTTATTTGCTAAAATAAAGATTCAAATTTACTTCAAAGTGAATTTCAAATTTAAGGCTAGAGGACATGGACTGAAAGTTTAGCTGACTGACAGAATTAAACTGCTTTGACTATTTTTACCTTAAAAGGACACTGTTGTCACCAAAACAGCTTTAGCTTAATGAAACAGTATGTTTTGTGTATAGATCATGCTCCTTTAGTCTCACTGCTCAATTCTCTGCCATTTCAGAGCTAAATCACTTTGTTTATGCAGCCCTTGGTATACATTCCTGCATGTGACTCGCACAGCCTTCCTAAACACTTCCTGTAAAGAGTCATCTAATATTTAAACTTCCTTTATTGCAAGTTCTGTATAATTTAGAATAACGTATTTCCTGCTCTTTTAATAGCTTGCTAGATCATACATGAGCCTCCTGTATGTCATTAAAATTAAATTTACAGAGGAGGAGATAAAAAACGTTTAAAGTAAGTTATGTTTGATTATAAATGAAACCATTTTGTTTTCATGCAGACTGACAGCCACAGCCAATGGAGGTCTGGCTAAACAGGGAGGGCCAAATAAACAGAAAGTAAAGTGATTTAACTCCTAAAAGGCAGCAAATTGAGCAGTGAAACATCATATGCATAACTTATACACAAAAGCTGAAATAGAGAAGAGACAAACAAGGCAAAAAGGAGAGAGGCACAACGTTAAGATTGAAATGTAAGAGGCATGAGGTATTGCCAAAGGTGGTGTGGTAGAGAGGCACACATTGACGATACCATTAAGGAGAACTGGAGGGTGGGAGGAAACCTGAGTGGGGAAGAAAGCTCAACACTGTTTTACAAATTATCCCAATTATTGTGGATCCTAGAATAAAATTAATATGGAAGATAAACATGCTTAACAGCAAAGATTGCTGTTTACACCGCTTCAAAGAGCTCTCTTTAACTCTATGGTTAGTGTTCACTTCTAATGTGACCAAAGAGAGTGGAAGCGTGGTGCTAGACTGTTAGAGATGTGATCCTCTTAAAGGGACACTATAGTCACCAGAACAACTACAGCTTATTGCATTTGTTCTGGTGAGTAGAATCATTACCTTCAGGGTTTTTGCTGTAAACACTGTCTTTTCAGAGAAAATGCATTGTTTACATTACAGCCTAGTGATAACTTCACTGCCCACTCCTCAGATAGCTGATAGATCCTTCCTGGGTCATGGCTGCCTAAAATGCTTCCAAACATTCAGTATCTCCTCCCTCTGCATGCAGACACTGAACTTTCCTCATAGAGATTCATTGATTCAATTCATCTCTATGAGGAGATACTGATTGGCCAGGGCTGTGTTTGAATTGTGCTGGCTCTGACCCTGATCTGCCTCTTTGTCAGTGTCAGCCAATCCTATGGGGAAGCATTGTGATTGGATCAGGCTACCACTTCTGCTGATGTCAGCAGGCAGTGGGCAGGTCTAAAGGAAACAGGGACAAAATATGCAGCTGTAGACTTGAATACAAGTAAATTTTACTATTTTTAGGGGGGCATGAGGGAGCCAAGGGGGCTAGATGGGGGTTTTAACCCTATAGGCAGGGCCGGACTGGCCCACCGGGATACCGGGAAATTTCCAGCAGAGCCAGTGCAGCTCCCCCAGCGGCCGCCAGGACAAGTCCCCCAAGCGCCCTCCAGAAGACTTCCCCTGCGGCCCCCAGAAGACCTCCCCAGCGGCCCCCAGAAGACCTCCCCCTGGCAGGTATTAGTAATGTGTCTGTCTGTCTGTGTTATCATGTCTGTCTGTGTCATGGTGTCTGTCTGTCTGTATGGTGTGTGTGGGTCTGTCTGTGTCATGGTGTCTGTCTGTATGGTGTGTGTGTCTGTCTGTGTCATGGTGTCTGTCTGTGTCATGGTGTCTGTCTGTCTGTATAGTGTGTGTGTGTGTCTGTCTGTGTCATGGTGTCTGTCTGTATGGTGTGTGTGTGTCATGGTGTCTGTCTGTCTGTATGGTGTGTGTGTGTCTGTGTCATGGTGTCTGTCTGTATGGTGTGTATGTCTGTCCGTCATGGTGTGTGTGTGTGTCTGTCCGTCATGGGGTGTGTGGGTGTGTCTGTCTGTCATGGGGTGTGTGTGTGTCTCTGTCCGTCATGGGGTGTGTGTGTCTGTCTGTCCGTCATGGGGTGTGTGTGTGTGTGTCTGTCATTCATGGGGTGTGTGCCTGTCTGTCCGTCATGGGGTGTGTGTGTCTGTCTGTGTCATGGTGTGTGTCTGTCTGTGTCATGGTCTGTCATGGTGTGTGTGTGTGTGTCTGTCATGGGGTGTGTATATGTCATGGTATATGTGTGTTTCTGTGTCTGTCATGGTGTAAATGTGTGTTTAAAAATAGTGTTTTTGGGGCGTGGCTTAGCGGCGAATGAGAGCGGTCGCCTGATCTCGGAGCTCTCCCGCCGACGGGTGTTTACAGCGTGACTACACAGCATACAAGCACCGGCAAGAGCGGCAAACAAGCGGGCATACCCCCACCTCATAATGTCCACAAAGACCGCCAAGAAATTCAAACAAAAGACCCTCCAAATGCAAGTAATAGCGTCGCCGAAGTGCGGACAGGAGGAACAAAATGGCGCCGACCAGCCCCAGTCCCCAGCCTCATGCTCAGAAGGCGGTGAGTTTACCCTCACTGCAGATGACATGCAAGCACCAGCCACAAATGCTTCACTACAGAACATGCTATCTGAATTAAAGCACACCTTCAAAACAGACCTGAAACAAATTGCTACAGATATCAGGGCTGACATTCAAGCTTTAGGTGAAAGAACAGCACGTCTGGAAGAGAGAGCAGAGGAAACTATAGAGGCCCATAATAGCCTAGCAGAGGCACACAACGACCTAATACAGAGAGTACAAAGCCTAGAAGCAAAAGTGGCAGACCATGAAGACCGGGACCGCCGCAACAATATTAGAATCCGGGGAATACCGGAATCAGTCGGCTCCCTAGATCTAACCCAATATGTAAAGGAAATATTTACAGCATACGTTCCAGCATTGAAAGAAACTGAGTTGCTGCTTGACCGCACACACCGCCTTCCAAGACCAAAGCACCTACCGACTACAGTACCGAGAGACGTCATAACGCGAATACACTATTTCACAACGAAAGATCGAATAATGCAAGCGTCTAGACGCCAAGGTCAGCTCCCAGGTCAATTTTCCCAAATCAAGCTATTTATTGACCTCTCCACTGCGACTATGATAAAAAGGCGATCGTTTACCCACATCACAGCGGCATTGAGAGCGGCGGAAGTACAGTATAAATGGGGCTTCCCGACCAAGTTACTAGTAAAACGCAACGGCGTAGACAACCTGATTCTTGATCCTGAATCCGGTAAAAGACAACTGTTGGAGTGGAACATCCCAGTACCAAATGACCCCTTGCTAGCTACGGAGGATAGATCTGCAATCAAACTCCACACTGAATGGAAGAAACAACCACGTCCCAAGACTACACAAAGACAAGTCTAGCAGGATCAGAACTTCCAATCGTGTGCTGACCACACGGTACGCATACGGGACAGGTCGTATACAAAGACTATAATAGTACATGCTCCTTTCTTGCAAATTACCATGCCGGGCTAAAAGCCTACCTACACCCAGGGAGGGCGCCACTAAGGCCACCCAGAATTGCTATGATAATTTTTGTTGTTAAATCCTTGCAACTGATTTCAATAACCACCCCCAATGTGGCTACCGACCCAGAGCCACAAGAGAATCCGTTAGATTTGACACTGCACCGCAGAGGCGTAGTGAACGGAACGCTGTACATAGTTGATTATTGGTTCAGTTATTATATTGTTTTAACCCTTTTTAATTTTATAAGGCAAACCCCGCAGACAGTATGTCCCGCATCCTTAACACCATCTGGCACCAACAGGTTAGCTATACAATTACCTCCCATTAGGGAACCTAATGTTGGAAGAGCACCCTGTCTCCCCCCGAGTAGCCACAGACTACACCACATGTCAGATGGTACTTAAAATATGCTCCCTAAATACTAAAGGGCTGAATTCCCCTCACAAGCGCCGCCTAGCACTGCGCGAAGCAAAATCATTAGGTGCCCACGTAATGCTCTTCCAAGAAACGCACTTCCAATGGGGTAACAGACCGAAGTTTAACTCCCCACAGTATCCCATAGATTTTCACTCATGTTACTCCAAAAAAAAAAGAGGAGTATCCATCCTTATTGGCAGAGATGTGGCCTTCTCCCTAATACGCAAAATAGGAGATAAAAAGGGAAGGTACCTTATATTGCAATGCTCCCTAAATAATAATGTCTATACCTTAATTAATGTCTATGGACCCAATGTTAACCAATGTAACTTTGTTGATGTACTGCTTGGTTTGATGTCTGCTCACGCACTTGGGGAAGTGATCATTGGGGGTGACACGAATTTCTTACTAGACAGTGACCTAGACTCATCAGGAGGTCCCCAATTGACTGCACAAACACTAAAGAGCAGGTCCAAACTAGCCACACTAATATGCAACAAACTAACACCGCACAATCTTGTAGACCCATGGAGAGTCACCCATCCCACAGAGAGGGACTACACATGCCACACAGCAGCGCATAAGACTTATTCGAGAATAGATAGGTTTTTGATCCGCACCTCCTCCATCATAAAGGTTGAGCGCACAGACATAGGCCTTATTACATGGTCGGACCATGCCCCTATTACACTACAGCTTAGGGAACAATTCCCCAACTCAGGAAGAGGCAGTTGGAGACTCAATGAACAATTACTCGCTGACCCTGCCATAGTTAACCAAATAGAACAAGATCTACAGTTTTATTTTAAAGAAAACAAAACCCCAGACTCACCTCTACCCCAAATATGGATGGCGCATAAAGCTTTCATAAGAGGCAGCTTCATCAAGCACGCCAGCTACGCAAAAAAAAAGCGACTAGAAGCTTACACAGCCATACTTTCTGAACTAACCTCCCTAACTCACACCAACAAACACACCCCCACAGCAGCCACACATACCGAACTATTGCGCTTACAATCGCAGCTCAGAGATTTGGAACTGGCCAAAACCACATCCCTCATGCGCAAGTTTAAACACAGCTTTTTTGCTACAGGCAACAAAGCGGGAGCGCGGCTGGCTGCCCAATTGAAACAGAGGACGGCTAACTCAAAAATTGCCTCCATCAAGGATTCCAGGGGCACCTTAATTTTAAACCCACAGGGGATAGTGGACGAATTCGCCCATTATTATGAAAAATTATATAATCTGAAAGATGACCCACAGACAGTCTGCCCCTCTAAAGCAGATATTGACGCTTTCCTGGCAGGAATCGACCTTCCTACCCTATCTCAGATGGAGGCGGATCAACTTAACAAACCCTTCACGACCGAAGAGATCACCTCGGTGATCTCTACGCTCCCACTACATAAAGCACCGGGACCTGATGGCCTGCCCAATAAATATTACCGCACCTTCCTTAACACCCTAGCGCAACCTCTTGGCGCTCTATTTAACCACTGCATGACAGAAGGGGCATTGCCAGAAGAAGTCACAATGGCACATGTCTCCACACTTCCCAAACCGGGCAAAAATACAGATCAATGTAAAAACTTCAGGCCCATTTCATTGTTAAATAGTGATGCCAAAATCTACGCAAAACTATTTAGCGAAAGATTGGCACCGTTGCTACATAAATTAGTACATAATGACCAGTCCGGATTCGTGCGGGGCCGACAAGGCTCTGATAACTCGAGGAAAGTGCTAAACATAATAGCGGGAATGGAGAGGGGACAAATCGGAGGTCTTTTCCTGGCGCTGGACGCCGAAAAGGCCTTTGACAGACTTAACTGGCAATATATGACACAAGTGCTGTGCAAGTATCAGTTCCCCGAAGAGGTTATCAGGGGAATCCTGGCTCTGTACGCACGACCCAGTGCTAAGGTCTCCCATGGGGGCTTCCTGTCACGCACTTTCCACATTACGAATGGGACACGCCAGGGTTGCCCACTATCCCCCCTGCTATACATACTCTCCCTGGAGCCCTTGGCTTGGAAGATAAGACAACACCAGGCCATAACCGGTATCACACTGGGGGACAGGGAATATTGTCTGGCAATGTTTGCGGACGATATTTTCGTGGCGCTTTCAAATCCAGAACAATCGCTGCCCCCTCTACTAACTCTACTGACAGACTATGGTAGAATATCATACTACCGTCTGAATAAGGAGAAAACACAAGCCCTACCGATAAACCTACCAGGGCCAAATGTAACTACCCTTAAGAACTCCTTTGAACTAGACTGGCGAACAACATCTATAACGTACTTAGGGGTTAAAATCGCCGCTCCTATTAGCAACATAGTAAAGCTTAATTATAAGCCCCTCATACATCTATGCACCACAGAAATACATAAATGGAAGAACGCAAAATTGTCCTGGCTGGGCCGAGTGAATGCATATAAGATGATGCTTTTGCCAAGGTTACTATATATATTCCGCATGCTCACAATAGACATCCAAGCCGCTATCCACAAATCGTTACAAGCCATATGCAACTCCTTCATCTGGGGGGGTAAGAAACCCAGGCTGCCCCTAGGTCTCCTACAACGGACGACCCAAACGGGGGGTATAGGCATGCCCAACATTGGACTCTATTACAAAGCCTCTATCCTAGCAACGAGTATACACATACACGCCCAAAAGGGGGTAACACAGTGGGTGGATATGGAACAAGACCAACTTAAGCACACCTCACTGCTTAATTACCTATGGACGCCGAGAACACTAAGAGGCCCCAAAGTAACTCTATACCCCACCACACTCGCAACGGTCAGAGTATGGGACGACTTTATGTCCTCCCTGGGCTGGAGGAAACACTTCCACCCTGAAGCTCCCCTTACTGCACTACATGCAGTGAATCCTACGATCCCACTAAACAGATGGTCACGCTTAGGTATATCCCAAATCCAACAACTGTGTACAGACCAGACGATCATGAGTTTCCCAGCCATCAGAGACAGATGGAAGGTCCCGGAGAGGGATATCTTTCCCTACTTACAACTGAAAAACACAATAAACACACACGTCAAGGGCACACCTCACACTGGGCCTACTCCTGCGGTAGCAGCGAGACTGATACCCCACAGATGCTGGACAGCCCCGATGAAACCCAAAGCCCTATCACTTTGCTACAAAGCATGGCTTGACCTAGCACCACAAAAACCGATGACATGCAAACAGCACTGGGAGACTGAGAGGGGGACAGTCATGACAGAGGAAAGGTGGATGCTGGCCCTAAATGGGATAAAAAAGTGGACCAAGTGCTACTCACATATTGAAGCGCATCGCAAACTACTATATAGGTGGTACATGACACCCACCAGACTACACAGAATGTACCCAGACGTTTCCACCAAATGTTGGAGATGCGGTGTGGAAGAGGGAACCCTGCCACACATATGGTGGCATTGTGGAGGGATACAACCTATCTGGGGAGATGTTCAAACCCTGTTGAAAGATCTCGGCATTAGAGACTTCCCCATGGACATAACGACCTGCCTACTCTTGTTGTTCCCCGAAACAACACAAAAAAACCACACACAATTGATAGGGATAGTTTTAATGGCCGCTAGAAACCTGATAGCTCTAAACTGGAAAACACCTCGCTGCCCAGCCATCCACCAATTGGCAGACAAAATACAACAATTCTATATATACGAGAAAATGTCCACTGACAACGCCAGGGCCACGGAAAGGTTCCAAAACACATGGAATATCTGGGAGACATGGTATGAGAGACAGAAACACCAGGGAGGGTGAGAGGGGAGAAGGGGACCCAGAAGAGTCAGGGCGGCCCAGGGAAACATGGACGGTGACTTATGTGAGCTGACATGGTCAAAGTACGCAGGAAATGCTGGATACAAACTATTATGATTTGCCTGCATATTTGTTTGTGTATATACCTTTGTTACGTTTATTTGAATTGTAATACCAACCCAATTGAAGAGTAATTGCAAACCAGCTTCGATAAAATGTTACATAGTACACGGAGGCAGATGATGTTACTGTATAACTTTAAAGTACAAATATATTATCCTGTAACCCGCTGAATACTCGTTGTATACACTATGAAACAACTGTGTACTGGATCTTTACCTTTGAAAAACCTTCAATAAAAAATAAATATAAAAAAAAAAAAAAATAGTGTTTTTGCTCACCTTTTTTTTCCCCCAAGCAGCGTGCTGGTCTCCCCTCGACTGGCCCTGCCTCTATAGCTGAGATCATCAAGCTTGATAATCTCAGCCAATCCAATGCTTTGCCATAGGATTGGCTGCAAAACGCCACACCAATCAGCATCTCCTCATAGAGATGCATTGAATCAATGTATCTCTATGGGGAACGTTCAGCACCTACAGAGTGTGGAGGCCCTGAATGTAGGTGCACTAACACAGGAAGCACCTCTAGTGACCGTCTGAGTGACTGTCACTAGCAGTGTCACTTTGAAGCAATGTAAACACTGCCTTTTGTCTGAAAAGTCAGTGTTTACGTTGAAAAGCCTGTAGGGACATGCTATAGACACCAGTACCACCACATTAAGCTGTGTGTGTGCATCTGCTAGTGAGTGAGCTTGCTTGCATGCGTGTGCCTGCTAGTGAGTGAGCTTGTGTTTTTATGTCAATGAGCTGATGTATATCAGTAAGATTGTTTGTCTATGAGGCTGTGTATCAATGAGCTTGTGTGTGTCATTGAAATGTCAGTGAAATTGCCTGTGTCTGCATATGAGTATGCTTACTGTATAATTAAACGTTTTACCCTGAAAGGACCAATATTTTATATTAGAAAAAGCTATATATATATATATTACTCAATCATCTGTTCTGGCAAGACATAGCCTTATATATTACACGCGACAATATATGGCGCAGTGACTTCTGGCGCAAATTTTTTTTTCCAGGGCTGCTTTGTATCCCCAGTCCGGCCCTGCCTATTGGGTCAGGAATACATGTTTGTGTTCCTGACCCTATAGTGCTCCTTTAATGTTTTTCCTTGTGTCTTGCAGCCCTGTCTATTACCACCAGAGCCAAATGTGTAGATTGGCTCCATGCTTGTGAGTGTGAAATTAACAGCAATTTATTACTGTACTATATTTTGCATATCTGCACTACTGCACTTCCATTTTTTTATGCAGTGGTGACTACATCCTGAAATAGAGATGTATTTTTATTGATATTTACTGCTCTACCCACACATATTTTTTGTGTTTTGCTTGTTGTTTTGGTTGTGGGAGAAGGGGATCTCACACAGGTGTGTTGAGCAACATATTGACACACAAAGGGACTGTATTATTTATTGTTATAACTTCCTGAAAAATAGTTTTTTTAAGGTGTAATTTAGAATGTCTTATCATTTGCTAGGTTGAAGGGACACTGTAGTCACCAGAACAACTACAGCTTAATGTGATCTGGTGTCTATACCCTGTTCCTGAATGATTTTAACATGCCAATTCATTCATTTATTTATTTTTCATTTTTTTTTTTTTTTTTGTAAATACGTTTTTATTGAACGTGCAATCTTTCAGATCCTCAAATAGCTATGAATGTGCGACAATTAGGACACGCAGGTCCCTTCAAAATGAAACCATAACAATTTTAGTAGGAAGTGATGTCCGCTCAGTCATATATCGGTGACACGCAGGTCACAACATAACATGCATTATCTTACCCTGAATGATTTTAAATGTAAATTCTGCCATTTTAGAGAAAAGGCCCTGTTTGCATAGTAGTACCTCTAGTGAACGCTCCTCATAGAGATACATTGTTTCAATGCATCTCTATAGGAGATTCTGAT